AAAAGAAAAAAAAAAGAAAAAAAAAAAAAAACAAAATAAAAATAAAAAAGAAAAGAAAAAAAAAAAAAAAAAAAAAAAAAAAAAAAAAAAACAAAAAAGAGAATAGAAAAAAGAAAAAAAAAAAAGAAAAAGAAAAAAAAAAAACAAAAAAAAAAAAGAGAAAAAAAAAAAAAGAAAAAAGAGAAAAAAAAAAAGCACGAAATTGTGTGACTGTTTGCATCCGGCCCTCCAGAATGTGGCCCGGGAATGGCGTTCTGGGATGTAGAAGAGCACGAAGTGTGTGACTGTTGCATCCGGGTATTCAGAATGAGCCTGGGAATGGAGTTCTGGGAAGTCGAAGAGCACGAAGTGTGTGACTGTTGGCGAAAAACGAGCCCGGCACCCTGCCGCCCGGCAACTCCCAACACCTGCCCGGACCCCCCTGTGGAGTGATCTGTGAGCTCTTTTGAGACCACTAGAAACCTATCAGTCTTCGCTGTTAGGTAATCATTGATTTCCCATGAGTTCTTGAAGGATTGTGGCATTTGCTTTTTGTTCGGCCTTCCGACGGGCCAAATGCTCCCCAAAAATCGCTCAAGAGGCCCAAGACACAGCCCCAGGAGGCCCCCAAGACGGCCCAAGAGGCCTCCAAGACGCTCAAGATGGCCTCCAAGACGGCCCAAGAGCCCTCCAAGACGTTCTCCAAGAAGGCCCGAAAGGGTCAAAATGGCCTCCAGACGGACAAGGTGACTTTCAAGATGCCCACGTGTTCCCCGAAGGCTTTCCAAACCGATTCAGGGAACACATGGTCCGATAGCTTGGCAGGTCTGGCCTCAACGTTCGGCCACACAGGCGCTTCCAAAAAGGCAGGGGGCGACGGTGATTCGCCGTTGGCGTCTTAGATCCGCCGCCCCCTGTCGATTCATCGCAGGGATGCCTGGCGTGCTGAACCCTCTCGGTTTGGGTTTTGATTCTTTTTCCAAAAGAACTCCCCCTGGGGCTTCGGCCCGTCCCGCCGGGGTCCCGGAAGGATTGCCCAGGATCTTCCAGAGCCGGTTGCAGAGGGTTTTCTTGCCCCAGACGGCTCCAAGATGGCCCCCAAGACGGCTAAGATGGTCCCAAGATACCTCCAAGACGGCCCAAGATGCACCCAAGACGGCCTCAGATGGCCGCAAGATGGCCCAAGACGGCCGAAGAGGCCCCCAAGAGGCCTCCAAGACAGCCCAAGAGGCCTCCAAGAGGTCCTCCAGAAGGGGCCGAAGAGGCCAAAATCATTGATTTTCCTTCGGCTTTTGAAGGATTGTGGCGCTTGCTTCTTCTCGGCCTTCCGACGGCTCAAGACGGCCCAGGCCCCCACGATCGCCCCAAGATCGTCCACGAGGCCTCCAAGATGGCCCCGTGGCGGCCCAAGAGGCCCCCAAGACGGCCCCAAGAGGGCCCAAGAACCCTCAAAGACGGCTAAGATGGCCCCACAGATGCCTCCAAGATGGCCCAAGATGCACCCAAGACGGCCTCGACGGCCTCTAGATGGCCCAAGACGGCCCAAGAGGCCTCCAAGAGGCCTCCAAGACGGCCTCCAAGGCGTCCAGGAGGTCTTCCAGGATGACACGAAGAGGCCAAAATCATTGATTTTCCTTAGGGTTTCGAAAGACGTTGGCAGTTGATTCTTCTCGGTATTCCGACGGCTCAAGACGGGGCAAGAGGCCCCCAAGATCGCCCAAGGGGCCTCCAAGATGGCCCCATGACGGCCGAAAGGCTCCCAAGACGGCTCCAAGAGGGACCCAAAACGGCCCAAGAGGCTTTCAAAACGCCAAAGATGGCCCCTAAGAACTCCTGATATGCCCCAAGATCCTCCTCCTCCTCCTCCTCCTCCTCCTCCTCCTCCTCCGGTGCTGCACCCCTGGCAGCGGGCGCGGGAAGCGCCGCGGCCACGCCCAGGGGCTGGAACAGAAGCACACAGCAGAAGCAAAAGCATGTGCAGGCGGTGCCGAATCAAGAGCTCCTCGTCATCCGCGTCCGAAGGGCCCGGCTCGCTGGACGAGGGCGACGCCTGAGGAGGAGCACAAAAAAAACACCGAGACGCACCGCCGCTCCCCAAGGGCTGCTCCTGCCGCTGCCCTGGCGCGGAAGAGCGCTCCGGGCGCCCTCGCACCCAGCCTCTCGCGACGACGAGGGCCCGCCACGCTGTGAGGCCACCACACAAAAATGCGAAAGCCGGGGGGCCCACAGACCCTGGCACCCAGACCAACCTCGCGTCGTAAAAAATCGAGACGGGCAATTTTGCGACGTTTTCGGCCTCTTGAGGCCCTCGCCAAGCCCCAGGACCGTCCAAAAACTACCTGGCACGGAAAACCGGTCCCGGGGGAATGGGTCGGGACCTCTGGAAGTCTAGGTTGTGAAAAATCATGTAGTCGGGGGTCTGGGCACTGGAGGATTCGATCTTGTTTCTGGCCTGGGGACCCTCACAGATCGATCCAGCTCGGCAGATGCCGCAGTAGCAAGGTGGGGTCTGGGGCTCCAGGGATGATCTCCGACGATGATGCGTTCCTTTGTTCGCAGCGTCGGATCTCGGGGCCCACACCTCAAAAATCCGGTCGGAGTCGTAGGGTGGGCCGACGATGGGCCTAGCCAGGAGCGGTGGACATGTACGGCAGGTTCGTGTCGTGACGACCCCGGCGTTGGTTTCTGACACTGCGTGAATCGTTCAACCTTGAACGATCGGCGGCTTTTCGACCGCCCGATCGTTCCATATAAGCCGATTCTGGGCCACTGGCGGCGTTCAACCTTGAACGCCCTCGGCAGGGTCGCCGCCAGTCGACACGACGCGAACCTACCGTACAGATCTCGCCGCCCCACACACAGCCTCCTGGTTGGGGTCCGAGGTGGACGGGGTCGGAGGATCGCGCCGCATCGCCCACACGTCGGCCAGCAGCCCCCCACCCGGCTCACCGGCTGGCTCCACGCTCTCGTCGCCCGACCGCTGAGTCACCCGACTTCGCGCACCGCGCCCCTGCCTTGTGGGCGGCGCGCGAGGGTCTGCGGGCCCTCGCGCCGCCACCCTGGCAGGCGGTCCCCAGGCGATGATGCACGCCCCGCTTGGGGCGTCGTGGGTGCCTCGGGGCCTCTGGGGCCATGTTCGGGGCAGAGATCGCCATCGCGGAGAGATCGGCCACGCAGATGGGTCAGATGGCTCGTCCTGCTCCAGGCGGGCCGCGGAGAAGGGCGCCTCGGCAGCATCCTCCAGCCCAAACCCGCGGTGCGCGAGGTGCGCCCATCTTCGCGCCCCCGCGGGTGGCATGGGACAGGCCCAGACCCCCGACGTCAGGATTTGCTCACAACGCGGACCCCTAGCAGGCTGACGAAAACCCTTTGCAAAGTTTTAGGGTTGCCACGTGGAGCCTGTGGAGGGGCTCGAGGCAGGTTGCGTTCGACTTCGCAGATCGGAGGCGTTGCCACTTTCAATATTCCCCTACAGCGGGGTCCCGAATCCACGTAAACATGCATCACATCGTGCCTCTGAGGTCGGTATATGGGACGCGGCAAAGTCTGCAGCAAAAGTATGGATGGAAACCCCGAACGGGATTGCGCCGAGCTTGATAAAACGCGGCACGATCCCGCCGCGGTTTTGCGCACCCTCTGCGCAAACTCTCCGAAGCGGTCGCTCTTGGAATGTCTGGATACAGATCTGAAGCGCCGCTGGATGCCCCATGAGGGGGCGGGGGGGTCCGGGACCCTCCCCGCGCCCTTACCCTCCTGGTCCGTCGACCTGGGCCGCCCCCCCCCTTCTCGGTCCGTCGTCCCAGACACCCCCCTTTCCTTCAGAAAGGAGGGGGGAGTGGTCGAAACCCTCCCCGCCCCCTGGAAATCGAAAATCGGACGCCCCTCCCTCCACCTTGTCAATTAGAGGGGCACCCACTGGCGGTCTTCCCTTTTTTTGTTCACGACTCGAGGGGCTCCCAGGACAGCGACAGAAGAAGAAGCAGAAGCAGAAGATGGGCCTGGCGCCGATCCAAGATGTCCGCGCGGACCTCGACACTTTATGCTTCTGCAATTGATCCTTCTTCCCTGACCCTGGACTTCACGATTTGTTCACAACGTCAATGCCCCCACCCACTCTCAACCGCCCCGACTCGCAGAGATCTAGACCCATTCCCTGGGACTGGCTTTTCGCCCCGAGCTGTTCCTGTTACGGTCCTGGGGCCAGGCGAGCGCCCCCAGAGGCTGACAACGTCTCGAGACTGCCAGTCTCAAGACTGCCCTACAGGGGGATCTTGGACGAACCCAAAAAATACCCCAAAATGATCAGAACTACTCAAAAATCGTCCCCTGACTAGTTTTAGGACTATTTTTGAATGTCCCTCCTGTAGAGGGACACGCCCGACGTAAGCCTAGGCATCCGGCGCTCCAATTTCTTCCGCGTGACCCCCAAAGGTCTGGACCGCTTCCCGGGGGCCGGCTTTCAATTATCCTGGCACGCCGCTTGACGGTCCCGGGGCCCGCCGAGTGCCCACAGAGGCTGAAAGCCGCCCGCTCCAGCCTTTTCGGAGCCTCGGACCTCTGGGAGGGGCTCTGGGTTCGAGGCGAGAGAACTCGACCCTCGGAGTGGCTCTCTTCTTCTTGGCGGCGCGCACAACGGGGTGGGGGGAGGGGGAGGGCTTCTTCGAAGAAGGCTGCTTCTTAGAAGGCGACGGCCTTACATCTACAGATAAGGCCCGCGCCCTCTGAGAAGCAGGCGTGCTTCTAAGAAGCCCTCCCCCCTCCCCCATATGGTAGGTTCGTGCGGCGTCAGCGCGCGCACATGTTCTTGACACCGCGTCGATCGATCAACCTTGATGAATCGATAGCGTCACCGATCGTTCCATACTGAATTCCGTCGGGTCCAATGGCGCTGCCGTATTCTTCGGTGCTTCCGCCTCCCAGAACTCAACCTTGAACGCCTCCGCTGGCGTCGCCGGCGCCACGTCGCCGCATGACCCTACCGTACCCCCCTCTGCGCGTGGCTGGCCCTTCCCCCCTGGCGCCTGCTTGCTCTGCGGCGGGCGCCTCCCCCATGGCATGGCGCTGGGCTCCGCCTCGGCGGCGGGCACAAGCTCTCTGAGGAGGGTGGGGGCGCGAGGGGGGGGACGGCCATGGGCAGGATCGACGACGCCGACGCGGACGGCGAGGACGACGAGGACGACCGCCGCGGCCGCCGCCACCACCGCCGTTGCCGCCGCCGGCGAAGGCGCCGCCGCTGCCGTCGCCGCCCCCGAGGGGCGGGCGCATGGGATCGGCAAATCGGATCGGACCGAGATGCGCATCGGATCGGAGCTGCTTCCGCCCAGAGTCGGGGTCGGAGCGGATCGGCTGCGCCAGGATCAACAGCAGCGCCATGCAAACATCGGGGTGCACTGGATCGTTTGAACATCGAAACGGAATCGGATGCGGCCGACCGAAACCCATATCGAATCGAATCGAATCGATCGGATCGAAATTGTCCCTGCCATGGGCCCCTTGTTAGTCCGCATGTCATAATAAAAAGAAGGATGTCACAGCCCTCCCAGACGAGCAATTTTAGACCACCTCCAGACCAGCCCTGAAAGGGCGGCCTTTTGTCCAGACCCCACTGGAACCCTCCAAGACAGCTCAAAACATGCCCACCCTAACCAGCCTCCCCATTACTTGTGAAGTTCATCTCAGACCCCCTCAGATCGTGAATAAAGCATAGCAGAATATTTTTGGAAAGCATAGCAGAATATTTTTGGACGTCTTCGACCTCTGGAGGCTCTCGACAGGCCCGCGCACCGCCAAAAAACAACTCGGGGTGAGAAGTTGGCCCAGGGGAAGAGGTCGATACCTCTGGCGGTCCACGTGGTGACAAAAATCAAGAACGTCGGGGGTCTGGGGACCCCGTGCTACCCATCAGCCAGCAGAGGTAATCGGCGGTCGCTCGGCGGCAAGCGGCGGTCTGTCGGAGGTCTGAGGTTGCGATCGCCAGTCGTTGGCTGTCTTCCGCACGGAAGCTGAACGAACAAATTTCACAAGGGCTCCATGATCGAACACAGAACTCCTGAAAAGGCGGGAAGCTTTTCAGAAGGCAAGGACCCTCCTGCCTGCACAGATCAGCACGATGGAAACACGGGTCCTCGAAGAGAAAATCACCCAGCGCGTTCCACTACTCGCAAGGTGCCTACTCGCGAGCGGACGGAAACCAAGCAAACGTGTGCCCCAATGTCATGGATGGTAGATCCCCCGCGGCGAATCCAGGCCATTTGCGAGTAGAGTAGTTACTCTGCGAGTAGTGGAAAGCGGTTGTCCAGACGAGAGGTCCAGGGGGCGTTTCCCCGATTTCGGAGGCCCTGGGCCCTCCGCGGGCCCCTGGGCCGACAAGAAAAGACGACTATGGATCGGCGGCGAGCGAGGGGGGGGAAACGAGAATGAGAAAGGCTTCTCAGAACTAGTGGTAGCGCGAAGCGCGAAAAGCTTCGCGCTTTGGCGCCCCCCCACCCAAAGGGAGAAAAGGAGGACGAGGAGGAGGGGGAGAAGGAACGAGAAACGCGAAGCGCGAATCAATTCGCGCCCTCGTGGGAGCCCTTGACAGAAGGCCCTCGCGCCTTCTGAGAAATTCTCTGAATCTTCGGAGAAGACTTCGTTCGAGAAAGCCTCTCGGCAGGCCGGGGGACTTCCCAGCCTTCCGAGAGGGCCCGCCGCCTCTCTCGCCTGCCCCCCGGGCTCGCCCCAGCCTGGAGGAAGCAAGAACTGCATGAACGTGACGTTCCTCATCTCCGAAGTCACAGGGGGGCCTCTCAGACGGCCGAAAAAAGGATCCTGAGAAGCCCTGCCGCCTTCGGAGAAGGCACGTCCCCTCAACTAGGAAGAATAAAAGACGCTGTAAGCATAAACATTTGGCGCTCCGCGCGAATTTCTCGGACCTGCGCTGGGCCCCCCTCTCCAGCGCGCGGAGCGCGCCAGGGGCGGCGCCGGAGGCGCCGCCGGGGGGGGGGGCCCAGACGCCGACCCAAGAACTCCGCGCGGAGCGCCGAGAGTCACGTGTGCGCCGTCGTTTCTCCTCCGTGACTCGGGAGGAAGGAGTGGCGCGGGGGGAAGCACCGTGGGGTCCGGGGCCCGCCTCCCTCGAGACCCTCTCCCCTCCACGGTCATCGGAAGCCGTACCAGCTGCAGACAAGGCAATCTCCGCAGCCGAGCTCGCCCTCCGAGGAGCCCCCCTGCCCCCTGAAGACCTGGACATCCTCGGACACAAGAGCGAGAGGCCGATCGAGCGCCGCAGGTCGTCCTGTCCCGCTTCTGGGAACGGCGTGATACGTGAACGGCGTGATACAGTCATCCGAGAAGAGCAGACATCCAACACGCCCCCCACGCGACACTCGGCCGGAAGAAGTGGGTAGAACCGTGAAGTAGGAAGGCGTCGGAAGTCGATCGGGCTTCCGCCCGCCCCCCGAAGAGAAAGAGAAAGGCGAAGGCACCCGATCATTGAAGCAGTACGGCGCTTGAAGTAGACTGGGATCCGAAACTCCAAAACTACCCACCCTCGACGGCAGGCGGCGCGTGCCGAGAGAAACAATCCAGGGCCGCGGGCCCCTTCCCCGCGTGCAGTGCGCTGCGGCCCGAGCTCCGCTCTGGAGAGATGACCCGCCGATGGGCCTCCTCCGCCGCCTCCGCCTCCGCCTCCGCCTCCGCCTCCGCCTCCGCCTCCGCCTCGGCCGCCTCCGCCTCCGCCTCCTCGTCCTCCTCCTCCTGCTCCTGAAAAGAGAGCGCCGAGATCGAAAGGATCGCGCCGTCGGGGGCCTGGCTTTCGAGTCAGACTTCGGAGCCCCAAACTTTTGAAGGGGCCCAGCGACACACAAAGAAATATACACAAATCCCAGGGTTACCCGGATCTGTCCATATTTTCTGGAGTTTCGTCTTCCCCCAGATGTCCGTGCTGTCCCATGTCTTCCTGGGAATCGACGATGATTGGTGTATGCGTTTGCCCTCCTTACAAACTTGGCGGCGCGCAGAAGGGGGCAGAGGGAGGGGGGGGAGGCTTCTTCGAAGAAGGCTGCTTCTTAGAAGGCGCCCGCCCTGCAACTGGAGACGAGGCCCGCGCCTTCCGAGAAACAGGGGTGCTTCTGAGAAGTCCTCCCCCTTCCCCCTATAGTAGGTTCGTGCGGCGTCCGCGCGCGCACAGGTTCTCGACACCGCGTCGATCGATCCACCTTGCATCGATCGCGTCACCGATCGTTCATGGTTGAATTCCGTCGGGTCCAATGGCGCTGCCGTATCCCTCGGTGCTTCCGCCTCGCAGAATTGAACCTTGAACGCCTCCGCCTTCAGCCTTTGGTCCCCCCCCCTCTGCGCGTGGCCGCCCAACGGACCGCGCGGTGACCTCGGGGCCTCCCCAGATGGCCTCACCGCGCGGCCCGTCGGCACGAGCGCGGCTCCTGGGTCCCGCGCGGAGAGGCCTCCATTCGGCCCGAGCGGCGGCCCCGCCGCCATCCCACACGGACGCGCCGCGCGGTGGTCACCACACCGCTTCGGGGCATCGTCTGTGCGACCCCCCGAGGCGTGGCCTGGGCCCCACTGGGCGATTTACCCCCACGGATGGGGATGCAGGCCGTCCCCTTCGGGCTTCGAAGGGTGCATCCCCCACTGGGGTGGTGATTTGGTGGGGCTCTCGAAGGGGACGAGGATGGGGATGGGGGTCGGTTAAAACATACTGACCTTCGGGGCCCCCCGAAAAGAACGCGGGCCTCCTGCGGCCGCTCGGGGGCGATCCTGGCACCCAGGGGAGCCCTCTCGGCGAGGCGCGAAGGCATCCCGAGGCTGGAAGACCCTCGGGGGGCCCACGACGACGTCCGAAAACCTTCGACTGGAACCTTCGATGTCTCTGGGCCACCTCCCGGGGCCCAGCAAGGGCGCCTGGACGCCGAAAACGACACAAAGTCTTTGTGCCCGGAGATCCGACGTTGCGAAGAGAATGCAAAATCGTGAAAAATTGCCACCGAAGCCCAAAACCCCATTTTCTGCTGCATTGTTGGAGCTGGAGCCATATGTGATGGTCCCGGGACCCGAACACGTGCAAAAATTGAGAAACGACGACCATCTTCATTTGGAATTATCCCGGCAAAGCAACCTAACAGCGATGTGTAGAAGCATATCTGAAAGCATTCCCCTTAAGATTCAGATGAAAATCCAGTTGTAGAATTCTGCTGTTCTCGCAGTCGTTGTCGCATTCGCGATGACAGTCGCAGCGGCAACGGCAGTCGCAGTCACAGCCTCAGCCTCAGCCTGCCTCAGCCTCAGCCTCAGCCTGCCTCAGCCTCAGCCTGCCTCAGCCTCAGCCCTGCTTCAGCCTCAGCCTCAGCCTGCCTCAGCCTCAGCCTCAGCCTGCTTCAGCCTCAGCCTCAGCCTCAGCCTGCCTCAGCATCAGCCTGCCTCAGCCTCAGCCTCAGCCTGCCTCAGCCTCAGCCTCAGTCTGCTTCGCCACAGCTCAGTCCTGCCTTCAGCTCGGCTAGCCTCAGCCTGCCTCAGCATCAGCCTGCCTCAGCCTCAGCCTCAGCCTGCCTCAGCATTCAAAATGTGGCCCGGGAATGGAGTTCTGGGAACTCGAAGAACACGAAGTGGCCTACAGTTTGCTCCGGGCATTCAAAATCATACCCAGGAGTGGAGTTCTGGGAAGTCCAAGAGCACGAAGTGGCCTACAGTTGGCTCCGGGCATCCAAAATGTGGCCCGGGAATGGAGTTCTGGGAGCACCAAGAGCGATTTTGCGAGGATGTCCCAAGCGATTTCGGCTTCGGCGGCAGCCCTCCGGGTCCCGCCCCCCCTGAGGAGTCATGATGCTCTCTTTTGAGACCACTAGAAACCTATCAGCAAGAGCTGTTAGGTAAAAAACGTGTCATGATAAAATTGGCCTAAGAGGATCTAACGGCCCTCGAGTGCAACGTTAGAAAGCCTTGAAGTCCTGGAATCATTGTAAATCCTTCAGCACATAATCATCATCATCACCACCACCACCATCACCACCACCACCACCACAATCATCATCATCATCATCATCATCATCATCACCATCACCATCACCATCACCATCACCATCACCATCAGCATCATCATGACGACTTCTTGCTCCTCTGATTGATATCTGCTCGATGTGTTCAGGGCGCCCACCAAGGATGTACGCGCCAAACCACATACATGAATACGCACCCCCAGTCCGCGAGACCAGCCTCGTGATGCGAACGTTCGCGCAATGCGTACTCTCGAAACCAGCGCGGATTCATGTATGTGCACGTCCTTTTTTCACTCCTGAGTCGCCGTTGAGCCTGCCAATTTCCAGTGGGGGGGGCGTTCCAGAACATTGAGAAAGCACGGAGAAACCTGTGCACCACCCAGCCCGAAATTTGGGCGTGCCTGGTGCCTTCGGGTTGGGCTGGGGTAGTTCGCGGGGGAACGAAGCATAAACATAAAAACTCGGAGGTCCGCGCAGATTTCTTGGATCGGCGCTGGGGCCCCCTGGCGGCGCCTGGCGCGCTCCGGCGAGATCCGAGAAATCCGCGCGGACCTTCGAGGTTTCCTGTCTATGCCAGCTTCCGTTCCCCTGGTCTGGTAAGTAGGGAGCCTCTGATTGATGCTTGCTCGAGGCGTTGGAGGCCCAGGCTCATCCGGGGTTCCCTAATGGGGGCCGGCAAACGGGGGGGGCAAGAAAGGTGCACCTTTCGTGCACCTTTCGTACCCCTTCGGGGCCCTAAGGGGGCTCGTTTACGGCCCCCTTGAGGGCCCCTTTCGCGCAACCCTCGACGCCCGCCAATGTATCGTCCCCCCATTACCGAACGCCCGAGCTCAGGATTGGTCTTCCATACCGGGTCGTCTTCTGGCGGTGCGCCCCGGCAGGGTCGCCCAGCGAGGCTATGCGCGGCCAGGCGCCCTCTCCGACGGGCGAGGAGAGGAGGAAGAGGACGAGGAGGATCGAGGAGGATCGACGAGGATCGACGAGGAGGAGGAGGATCGAAGAGGATCGAGGAGGACGAGGATCGAGGAGGATGGAGGAGGAGGAGGAGGATCGAGGAGGATCGAGGAGGAGGAGGAAGAGGAGTTCCAGGGAGCGCGGTCGGCCTCCCCTCGCGCCACGCCCCCGTGGGCGCCGGCAGCCGCCCACGGCGCAGCCGCGGAACCACGGCCGGCGGCCGCCACCAGCAGCCCCGCCAGCGCCGCGGCGGCCACCACGGCGAGGCGCCGCGGCGGCCACCGCCGCCCCGCGCCGGGGGGAGCCCCGGCGAGGTCCTCCGAGCATGGCTCGACCGATCCCCAAAGATCTGCTCCTCTCCGAAAAACCCGCGGGGCGAGGGGTCGAGAACGAGACAGGTCCGCAGCCCCTCAGGGGAGCTTTGAACGAAGCAGCGCCGAGCGATTGCAATTCCCGGCGAGGTCCTCCGAGCATCGGTTGACCGCTCCCTGAAACTCTCATGGCGCTGGCCACGATATCCGCCCCCCGAACCATCACCCTCCCCTCGGCCGCCCCCCAAGAGGCTCCTGAGAGGCCCTCAGGTTCCTCCACAAAGGCCTCAAAGGGCCTTCCGAAGAGACCCCAAGAAGCATCCCTGTGGGCTCGTCGCCGCCGCCGCCGCCGCGGCCGTCGTCGTCGTCGTCGTCCCCCTTCAGAGTCGGCGGCACCAGCCACAGGGCCTTCGCAATATCTCAAGGCCTTCCTTTTGTGCAAGACGTTGGACGTTGGACGCTGCAGGGCGAAAAAACTGCACAGACAGAAACGTTGGGAACTCGGCGCTGCGCTCAGAAAGTTTATGCTGATGTCGTTTTTCTTGCCCAACGATCCCTATCCCCACCGGAGTGGCCTGGGCCCCACTGACCGATCTCTCCCCCGTAAATAAAAACACGGCCTTTCCACTCGGGCTTCTGAGGGCATGTCACCACCTGGGGTGGTGGGATGCGAGGGTTCGGGATGGAGATGGGGATGAAGACAGGGATCGGTTACCCGTTGGTCGGCAGAAGTGGGTAGAAGCATGAAGCAGGAAGGCGGTGGAAGTAGATTGAGCTTCCGCCCGCCCCCGGAAGAGGAGAGAAGCGGGAAAACCGCTCGACTCTCGAAGTAGGAAGTCGGCTAAAGTAGATTGACATCTGGGAATCAATTATTCACTGCGTGGGGCTCCCCATATGAGCATCTATTCGCATGGACCTGTCCGCCGTGAGTGTCTCGGCGCAAGAGTTTTCGAATATAAGCGGGCTTGAGTTGTGACGGTCTGGTCATGACTCTAACTGCGAATGAATTGGAGTGTGAATGAGTCTCACTAGTACGAGCGCGTCTCTACGCATGCGCCTGGGGCCTCCTGGGGCCTCCTGAAACCTCCTGGGACTTCCAGGGGCCTCCAGGAACCTTTCGGGGCCTCCTAGGGCCTCTTGGGGCTTCGAGTGGCCTCCTGAAGTCTCCTGGAGCCTCGCGTGGCCTCCTGGGGCCTCCTGGAGTCTCTGGGGACCTCCTAGGGAGTATTCGTGCCCCAGGGGAGGCCCAATCTGTGTATATATATATATATATATATATACATGCATACATATATATATATATATATATACAAGACTGCAGTGGCGCTTCGCGCCACGCACCTTGGTCTTTGAAGTTTGGTATGCAGGCGGAATGGCAGGAAGGTCAAGCCGACAATTTAGCGATACCTCCTGGTTGCCTTTTCCGGCATCGCCGCTATAATGATGTTATTCGTTATCCTTCCTCCATGCTTATTGTTCCTCAGTTTCGCCATACCCTGCGCATTCTCCCCATCCTCCTCAGCTCTTTTTTGCGGAGGCTCCTCCTTGGAGAGCCTCTAGGGTCCTCACAACAGTTGTTTCGGGCTTTATTAAGGACTTCTGGAGGCCTCCTGGGCGTATTCTGGAGGCCTCCGGGGGTTTCCTCGGGCCACCCTGCCTCCAACCGCCGTCTCCCTGAACGACCGAATCACGATTTGGAATTCTTCGGAGGGTGTCTTTGGGCCATCTTGGGCCGCCGTGGGGCTCTCTGAGGGCCATCTTGGACCCGTGTTGTGCCGTTTGGGCGCTTTCTTGGACTGCCTGGAAGCCTTTGCGGATGGTTGTGGGGCGATTTGGGAGCCTCCCAGGCGGCTTCGGACGCCCAGAAGACCGCCGTCATGGAGCGTCGGGAAGCCGAAAAGAGGAGAACCCAAAATTCAGCAAAAACCTACAGAAAATCAAAGATTTGTGCCTCTTGGGGCCTTCTTGGGAGTGCTCTTGGAGGCCTCTTTGGGGCCGTCCTGGAGGCCTCTTGGGCCATCTTGAGGTCACGTCGGTCACTCTTTGGAGCGCTCTTGTGCTGTCTTGGGGGTCTCTGGGCAAGAAAAGAAATGGCCCACCTGATCGCCCCTAAGCCTCGTCAAGAAAAATGCCGCTTCTTCAGTGCGAAGGCCCGGTGGCCGTTCGAGTCCCGTCCTAGTGCCCCAAAGCCCCAGTCCTGGGAATCCGGTTTTGGGGGGTGACGGGTTTTCCCCCCCGCCTCCCGTGTTTTATAAAAATATAGGAAAAAGGTATATGCATTAATCTAAATATATATAATATATATATAATATAATAATATATAATATATACATACATACAATAAACATATATAACATCATATATACATAATACGAGCGGACGTACATACAACATGGCGGATTGGAGTCACAGGAGGGGGAAAGATGTAAGAACAACACGTAAAACACCAAGGACTCGTGCCGCCAGGAGAGGAAGTGCCAATCTATAGGAGCATACGTAAAAACAGTTAAATATGGTATACACAGGAGAAGTACCACAATATTATACATATGAAAATACTAGAAACCATCGCACGCGCTTCGCGCGCGTTCAGGTTCTAGCAGGCCCCAGACCTTGACCAATTCATTGCTCCACTGAAGTAGTGGACCACAGTCCACGCATGCCAAATCGAGAAGTGTGCCTGATGATTGACCAAATCGATTGATGAGAGACAACCGCCTTTGCAACACTGAATACAGTATTACCGAAACAATGCAACAAAGCACAAGCAAGTGAATGGAATATGGAGAATGTGACAGCGAATACATATTGTCGAAACACTGCAACAAGGGCACAAGCATCTTTGAATTATGTGCCCACCCCCACGGGCCGAGTGCACCCATTATGGCGGGGTGTCTCTTGCCCAGGGACGCGCCTGCCTTAAGGGGTGCAGGCACCCGTGGTCCGTTCCGTCTCCAGCGCGACGCGGGGCAGGCCGACGTTGACACGAACGATACTTTTGTTTCCGACGTAGGGAATACACCACGTGTAAAGCGCTCTGTGAGTTTCCTCTTGGCACCGTGTCTGGTTGCAAGCACGGTAGCTGTATTTGCCAGAAGATGTCGAGCCAGGCTACTAAACCCTGACAATCTGGCCTTCACAGAAGGGAGGAAACGACTGCCCCCTCTTTCGTGACATCGTCGGCACCTGGCGGCTTGGCCGCAGGTGCCCCCTTTTTCCTTGAATGTCCGACCCCCCGCCCCCGTGACCAGAGCCTTGACTGGAGCACAGGGTGGCGGAGCCGACTTCGTATCCCGGTTCTCGGGCACCACAATCAAAGCGCACGTGCGAAGCCCCCTCTTTGGTAAAGCGACCACTGCTACTACTCTGGCTGATGGGAAAAATGCTGCACCACCGAAGACGAGCTCTTGGAGAGACTTTCGGCTGATAACCAGAGGTTTGCCTGATGATTGACCAAATCGCTTGATGAGAGACAACCGCCTTTGCAACACTGAATACAGTATTATCGAAACAATGCAACAAAGCACAAGCAAGTGAATGGAATCTGGAGAATGTGCCAGCAAATACAACTTGTCGAAACACTGTCACAAGGGCACAAGCATCTTTGAATTATGTGCCCACCCCCACGGGCCGAGTGCACCCATTATGGTGGGGTGTCTCTTGCCCAGGGACGCGCCTGCCTTAAGGGGTGCAGGCACCCGTGGTCCATTCCGTCTCCAGCGTGACGCGGGGCAGGCCGACGTTGACACGAACGGCACCTTTGTTTCCGACGTAGGGAATACACCACGTGTAAAGCGCTCTGTGAGCTTCCTCTTGACACTGTGTCTGGCTTCAAGCACGGTAGCTGTATTTGCCAGAAGATGTCGAGCCAGGCTACTAAACACTGACTATCTGGCCTTCACAGAAGGGAGGAAACGACTCAATCTGCAATCCGACAGGCCTTCGAGGAAATGTTTGTGTAGGGGGCGGAGTCCGTATAATCGGTTCCCGAAAGCCTTCTGGGAGCATGGGTTTTGGGGGCGGTCTTGGGGAGCCCTGATGGGGCTTGCCGTCGACGTCCGTCGCGGTCGTCGTCGTCGTCGTCGTCGAAATGACGTCGCCTTATTGGGGCGCTCCGTCGTCGACGTCGTCCGTCGTCGTCGTCGTCCGTCCGCGCCGCCGCCGCCGCCGCCGCCTGTCGTCGCCGTCGTCGTCGTCGTCGGTCGCGTCGTCGTCGTCTTCGTCGTCGTCGTCGTCGTCGTCCGTCGTCGACGTCGTCCTCTCTCGGGGGGGGGGGAGGGGGGGGGTTCGTCGTCGTCGTCGTCGTTGTCGGTCCCGTCCGTCGTAACTGATGCGTCGTCGTCGTCGTCGTCGTCGTCGTCGTCGTCGTCGTCGTCGTCGTCGTCGTCTCGTCGTCGTCGTCGGTTCAAGAGGGCACTTGGGGCAACTTTGAACGAAACGATCTGCGGAGGGCCGCGAGAAGGCGATCAGTCATGTTCCCAATCAACTTCCCAGACAGCTCTCCTGTAGCATGATGGTGCTTCGAAGCCTCCGGAGACTCGCGGGCCCATGATGAACCATGTCCCAGGAAGGCTTTCTGGGGACATGGTTTGTTGGGGTGTGTTGGGGGGTCTCTTGGGCGTTCCCTGGGGGCACCTTGGGGGCCTCCGGGAACTCTCGGGCCCATGGTGAACCATGTCCCCAGAAGGTTTTCTGGGGACATGATTTCTTGGGGTGTGTTGGGGGGCCTCTTGGGCGTTCCCTGGGAGCCCCTTGGGGGTCTCTTGGGGCTTTCTATGGGCCTCTTGGGCGCCTCACGGGGCTTCGTGGGAGCCTCTTGGTGGCCTCCGGGGGCCTACAGGCGGCCTCTAGGGCCAGAGACCTCGAAATATCAGTTGGCGGTCCCCCTCTGGGCCCTCTCTTGGGGCACAGTTGGGTTGTCTGGAGAGCCTCCTGGGCCGTCTTGGGGCCCTCTTCGGGGCCTCGTGGCCCGTCTTGGAGCGATCTTCAGGGCCTCCGAGCGAGGC